TATTATTATCAGATACAATGATAAATTATTATTGACTTTTAACCACACAATAAGCCACGAGCTAGATAATGACTAAAATTTTATTTAATTAAATTGCATCTAGTGATTTATTTCTACTCATCTCTTCAAACATTAAAGGAAATGAACATATCGAGTCCTAAACTAGTATATTTTAAAAAAATTTTCGTGATTTGGATCTTCGTCTCATAAGCACTATGCACAAGTGTAGATTGGTCAGTAACATTTCAAGAATTGTCTTTTTATTTTTGAAACACCTAATATCTGCAATCTTTATGATTTAGGGTTTGTAGAAAGTATGCATTTACATAAAACGTTATGCAAACGCGTCATAACACCCATGTACTCTTCTCATTTACAATATATGAATAAAAACTTGCCTTGTTCGGAAGCACTTTATGTAATGCATAGCTATCAGCTCTCAATGCAACACGAGATCCTGGTGTAACAGTAGTTATGTCAATACCTTTGTCCAAATCAACAACATATTTTCCCTCTGGATGAACCTTAAATAATTATATGAAATTAAAAGAATAAATCAGAGCACAAAACACTAATGTTACTTGATCTCCGATGTTTATTTTAAAGAACAAATCTGGTAACAATGACAAATTAGACTAAAGCATACCTTGACCAGCACCTTTTTTTTATCCATTGCTTTCGACACTTCTCCGACATATGACCCTTGTTCATGCAGTTGCTGTAATTCCTCTTTTAACATGCGAACCTTAAAAACTTATTCTTTATAACTTTCTGGAAATAATTTATAAAAGTTAACCAGATGTAAACCCTATTGGTTATTGCAAAGAATAAACTGTAAACACAATGACATCAACTAAAAACTTCGAGATACCTTTGTGTTCAATTCATTTCTTTGAGCATGTAACCGTCGTAGATTCTGTGTCTTTTCTGCGACTCTTTGCTAAAATAAGAAATAAGATAAAGAACAAGCTAATTTGTTTGTTCAATACTTGGTTTTAGCACAAAAATTCTAATGGATTTGAATTAAGCTTATTAGACAGAAACCCCACTTGCATATCTTCGATTTTTGTTTTGTAGTACCGCTTCAGACTTTGTTCGTCACAACTTTTATTCCCTACCCCTGTAGTGATCGATCCCGCCATAGGTGGTGCCATCTTGCTCTAGAAAAAGGATTATTATAATTTTACACCAATAAATTCACTCCGTCAATTCGATGAGAATAAATGCATGAAAAACATAAATAAAAGAATAAAGCTTGTATTATTTTTCCTTTTTCTAATGCATGTAGAGTGAATTTAAAATTTGGAAAATATTTACTTTTCGTTTCACTTAATATCTCTAAGCAAATAATTTGGTCTCATTTAATGATCCCAGTAGACGTTATGATCTGAGATACTGTAAAGTTCTACAAATCGATCAACAGAGTTGTAACCAGACATCACTCCTTCACATTATAATCTTTGATATTTATAATGTGATTATTTTTATACAAGTTAAAAGACACTACTTATACGTTGACAAAAAGTAGAATTAAATTTAATAAGAATAGTAATTTATCTACCTCCATTTGAGTTAAACAATCACTGCCTTCCTAAACTATCCTTTACCACAGAATGATGTAAAGATATAAACTTTGCACCAGAGTGCCCTCGTTAAAATTGCCTGAATAGTTAAGTAATAGAAAGTTTCAATATGTTTTGCTTAAATCACTGCGAAAAAACAGTCTGTATGAAGCACTGTATTAATTACTCCTTCTTCATCCGAATAATCCCACTTATATAAATAATTACGTGTTTGACCAAAGTAAATTCATGTGAAACTAATCAGAAAGAAATGTATAAACACAGCTCAGCAACAAAAAATTCAAAGAACACATGAAAATATAAGACTTAAAATGGAAGAAATTACTTTACAGGGCAAAGGTGGAAAAATTCAGGGACAGAAATCCCGAATGTCAATGAATTGTATGTCTATGATCTTTTATGAATGAGAAATTATTTTACACAAATAAAAAAACGGATTTTCTGAACGGTTCGTGAAACGACTACAATTAATTGTCGAGCTCCAGTACTGATCAAACTTTCATGCATTACAGATCACGTAAATTCGTGAGTGACGCTAAGGCTACGTAGAGTATAACAGTACCGCTCAGTCTTATAAATACGTCACAGCTTGATTTACTGCACTTAACGGGATGAATTGATGTTGACCGGCAAAATGTGGCCAAGAAAATTCAGATTCAGTGCTTACTATACGTTGGTCGAAAAGTAAAAAGTTAGATGATGACTGTACGTGTGTTCTGTAAGAGTATGGTTATAATGTTGTTGGGATTTTGTGATTGTTTGTTGATCGTTCTATAATAAGTTTTATATTTAGGAAATTGCGAAAAAATATACAAATATTGTAGCATTATTGCTGTTATTGTGGTTTGCAAGCGATTGCAGCACCGAGTGTATGTATTGCTCAAGCGTTCCGTCTATGCATTGGGAGTTGCTATCAGTCAATATATATGGCTCCGACAAGTAAGCCGGGTAGTCTGAAAGACCCAGAAATTGCTGCGCTATTCAGCGTGAAAGATCCAGAACAAAGATTTGAAGACTTACGCGAAATCGGTCATGGCTCATTTGGCGCTGTATTTTTTGTAGGTACTTTTATCTCTCTGTGAAGTGCGGAAAGATGTTTGCTTTATTATTTCAATGCTATGTTCATAATATGTTTATTTTGGTTCTTTCCCGGTATTCATGTATTTACTGTTTTTTATGATCTTAATGTACTTATTAATTTTATAGGTCAAACATTTGAAAGGTGCTATCTAATTATAGCAGATATTTTTTCATTTGACGGTGTGAATGAAAAGTTAGAAATATGAAGGAGCTGAATATTTCAGACATTTTCCTAGCTTTGTGCTTTGCGAAATAATATTCAATATATGATACAGACTTGTTGCATTAATGAAGTATCATCAAAGGAAAGCATCATAACTTTTTCAAAATTTTTTGACTGATATGTTTCCACCAAGAAATTGTTAGTGTTTTTGTGCTAATCACATTAGCTCATTTTAAAAAGTAAAATTTTTTTAATTTAGTGCGTAACAGGATGTTCTGGCATTAATTTCCGTTGATGAATGTGTTGGTTTTATGGTTTTTGGCATAAAGTTTCAGTTTCTCAAAATTAAGTCTTTGAAATATTTTTTTTTCAATGAGTCAAGTTTTATAAAATTCAGGCGCAAGATTTGGAAACAAATACAACGGTTGCAATCAAAAAGATGGTGTTTTCTGGTAAACAGTCTGCAGAAAAGTGGTCTGATATTATTAAAGAAGTGTCTTTCCTCAAGAATATCAAACATGACAACATAGTTGATTATCGTGCTTGCTTTTTGAAAGAGCACACATGCTGGGTAATTCTAGAAATTCTCCTTATTTATTTAAAAAATATAATTATCATTTCTTGATTACTGTTTGAAACGATTTTTAAAAATCAAAAGTGATCACTATCGATTTTTTCAAATATATAATATATATGAGTTATTTTTAGTTAGTGATGGAATACTGCATTGGCTCAGCTGCTGATATAGTAGAAGTACATCGAACTCCAATGCGAGAGTGTGAAATTGCTGCTATCATCGAGCAAACACTTTTTGGACTTACATATTTACATGAATTAGGCCGAATACACCGAGATGTTAAAGCTGGTAATATTCTGCTCACCGATAATGGCATTGTGAAACTTGGTCGGTTTTTTATGCTTCAAATTTTATTTGAAATTTGTAATCCTTGTACTCATATACAAAATTTATGGTTCATGTACTAGTTTCATCCTCTCAAACTTTTGTCACTGTTGATGTAAATTTTTTTTTTAATTCGTAATCTTTGTAAACTTTTCAAATTAGTCGCTGATAAATCTTATCTTTCTCAATATTTTTTCTTGTTTTTTTCCTGTCTTGCTCACTACATGTATTAGCATAAAACAAATTCAATGGTCTCAAGATGTTCTCAAGCTTTTTCCATTGTCCTGATCAAGCATTGGATGGGAATTAAGACTTTTCTATCTATATGTGATGTTAATATATTAATTATGGACTTTTTTGCCGCTTTATCATTTATCTGCATGAAGTGTGTTGAAAGAGGTTCTGATATCTATGAATTCTTTTTTCAACATATTTAAACTTAATATGTTTTCAGCTGATTTCGGAAGTGCTTCTATTGTATGTCCGGCTCAAAGCTTTGTTGGTACACCTTATTGGATGGCTCCTGAAGTTATCTTAGCCATGGATGAAGGTCATTACGATCAGAGTGCAGATATTTGGTCTTTAGGAATCACTTGCATAGAGCTGGGTTGGTTATTTTATAGTTTGTATAATTGTAAAATTGAAGGATGACTATCCAAAATCAAGCTTGAGATGCTCCTTTAATACCTGGATTATTTTTCAGCTGAACGGCGCCCACCACTTTTTAATATGAATGCAATGTCTGCTCTTTATCATATTGCTCAGAATGATCCACCGAGACTTTCATGCTCTGAAAATAGTTCACTGTGGTCAACGGATTTCCATTCATTTGTCGATCTCTGCTTACGTAAAGATCCACAAGAACGCATAAAGACCGAGCGTTGTCGATATGTATGTTTCTTTCTTTAATTAATACAGTTGTTTTCGTTCTGTGGAAACAAAAATTTGCATTGAAATTCAACAGCAAAAACATGAAACAAAGATATCCTTTGCGCTTATTTGAGCCTGCTTAACTATTTTGCAGCATTCATTTATCGTAAATAAGCGTCTAGATGGCGTGATTTTGGAATTGATTGTAAGAACAAAGGCATTAGTTAGTGATCTAGACAATTTCCAATATAAAAAAATGAGAAAATTGGTTTATCTCGACGAGCAGCAAGGTGCTGCAAGTGATGAAACACTGTCAGCAGATCGACATGATCAGGTATGCATTTTTAAAATAAAATGTGTCTGCACATAGTTATAATTATTTTTAATATCTTTGCGCTCTCAAATTACATTCATTTTGACCCTCGCATTGTCAGTAAATTGTCAGGATAATTTTGCAGGACGAAGAACTATCAGGAATAGGAGGTTCAACAAGTTCTCGTTCAAATTCGATCTCTTCATTTCAGTCGTATCATTCAAGTGCTACAACGTCTGATACTCATCATGCAGAGAGCAACAAACCTGTTGTTACGCGGCCTTCTGTGCCTTTCCATCCTGCTTCATCTACTTCCAACGTTCGCGATACTAATGATATTGTTGATGATGTTAATGAAGTGATTTTCTCTGCCTCTAGTTCAATAATAAGATTATATTTATGTATGCACAGAATTTGAAAAAAATTTTGCATTCACTTCATGAAAATCGTATGTTCTTGAACTTTCAGAATAAGACGATAATTCGACTCGATGACGGTGTTAGCCAATGCATTCATTCATTACGTGAGTCACAAGCTGAAGAAATTTCGTCTGGATTATTTACATATTCAGCGTGTAGTGGGATCACAAAACCAATAAATGTAATGCTTTAGTTCTTTATCTTATTTTTTAGTTTATTCTGTTTTCTTTATTACAGCTTTATATTGATTAAAAATAATATTTTAGGAAGAAATGGCAACTTTGCGACGGTCAAAGTTTTCAACCCTGCGGACAACAAAACTGATATCTAGAGAATTAGAAGAATACAATCGAGAAAACAATATCTATGAGCAAATGAGTGGTTACAAACGCTTGCGTCAGCAGCATCAAAAAGAATTGAAACAGGTTAGCAACGTCTTTTGTATATGGTATGACCGCCATAAATTGCTTTTGCTTATCAGTTTTACATGGTAAGTCTTCCATTTCAGCTAGAAGAAAAAAGTAAGATAGATTTGGATTCATTCAAGCTTAAGGCTAATAAAGAATACGAAAACCTTATGAATACTTTCACCAAAGATCTTCAAAGGCTGCGTCATAACCAAAATGCTGAAAAAGAAAAGAAGGTGAAGCATCATTTTTCTATAGAATTAAAATTACTAAGTGAGAGCAGGTCTTGTAATTCATCTATTTCAATTTTGTGAAGTACTATATAAGCAGTATAAAACGACAAGTTTATGAAGTTCGCAATTTCTTTTCGATTTTTGGTTTTTTATGAAACTAGAAAGCAGAAAATTTTCATGACATTTTCACTGTTGGTATTGGTTTTGAATGAATGAATGAATACAATATTAGTTTTACGTGCTATAAAAGGCTGATTTGAACGTTTTGGCCTTCTAAATTAATATGCAGACAAAATATTTTTTTATTTAGATCCGAGAATTTGATGATGTAGAACGTAAGTTGCGACGTCAATTAACATCCCAGCAAGAAAACGAGCTGAAAGCATTTGTAAATGCTCAAAAAAAGGAATATAAGCATAATAAAGAGAAGGCTAAAGTGGTAAATCATTGTGTAATTGGAAAATGACTTTCTGCTTTATGCAGAGGATTATTTTTACCCATTTTGTTGCATAAATGAATATATTCTTGAGGAGTTGAAAGAACGTTATGCGAATCGTTCTGCATATGAAAATTCATTGAAAGAAGTGAAAGCTGATTTAAACGCACGACGTTCTGAAGCAGAAGCGGTTTTTGTGCGTGAACAAAAGAAAACACTGGAAATTGAAATTCGTCGGTTAAACCGAGTTCGCATGGATGACATGCATGCGATGACCGAAAAATTAATTTCGGAGGTACGTTTCTTGTTTTGTATGTAAGTGTCTTCTTAATCACTATCGATTGGATAGATTCATGATCTTATATAGACATACTGATTGCTTTTGCGTAGCTTTTATCGAAGCTCGTTGCTATTCCGTCCCACTTCATCACATACGGAATTATATTCATACTGAATTTCATCTTTACCTATTCACCATTATATCATGCTTGCGCTTTTTCTTAGTCAGTGCTGCTTCAATGTCTTGACTAGTGATGCCAAATTCTACCAGAATTACTTAATATCTCTTGTTATCGTGCACCATGATATCCGGTTGGTCCGCGTTTATTTCGATCACTGTTCTTATCACGTATCATTTCCTGTCTCCATGTTCTCTTATTCGTGATATTTTCCTAAATATGTGTATATGATGCTTATACATTGCGAAAAATAGAAGATATTCTTCTAAATTTTGATATGACCGTTTGCAGGAGATGGCATCCAAATTAAAGCAGTTGCAAGCTGGCCATGCTTTGTTGTATAAACAACACGAGCTAACAAAAGATCTTGAGTTAAAAATTTTGTTGGAGAGCCAACGCATGAAACGGCGACATTTATGGAAACAACATGAGGCTGAAACATCAAATCAATTGCAATATAATCAGAGAATTACGGATGAGACTATGAAACGACATGCTTTACAATCAAAACAGCAACCGAAAGAATTGAAGGTTTTTGCTGTATATATTTTCATTGATTTGGAAGATGCTCTGATTATGACATATAATTTGACTTTTTATATTTAAAAGCGAAAAGTGTACTGCGGTTATCTGCAGCCTCGCATTTGTATAGTTACTTGACTTTTTTCATGAAATTTAAATTTCGATTATACCAGTTCCGAGGAAACATTGTCAGTTGTCCGCATCGTGTTACATTATTTTTATTAGGTGAAAGAGCTGCAAATAAGAAAGCAATATCGGCAAGCAGTGAAAACACAGTTGAGGCAAAGCAAACTGCTACAAGCTCAGGTACACTCTTAAAATGTTTCCGCTTAACACGAGCATCTTGATTGATATACATTCTTTTCTGTTCTTGTTTCTTAATATTTATTTCATTATTTTTGTCATTGATTATCATTGAATAGGTCTTTTAAAGGCTTTTTTAAATTAGGTCTTGAGTTCTACACCAAAAGAAGAGCACAGAGATATGATAATGAAATTGAAAGAAGAGCAAAAAAGAAAGTTGGCAACATTGGCTGAACAATACGAAAGTACCATTGCAAATTTGATGCGTGACTTGACTGTTAAATTGGAATCTTGGCAGGTACAACATTATTTCATATACTTATTAATTTATGCATTTTTTTTGTTCTTCTGTCTTAATGTTAATTTCATGACCGTGTTTGATAATTATCGTTTAATATACTACTTGAACTCGTTTGCTTAGTTTAAGTAGTGGTTATTTGCTACCAATAAAAAACTAAATTTCTTTTTTCTGCCGAAGTATATATAGATTTAGATGTGTTTCCAATCAGTAGAGCTTTATTAGATTGTGTTTAGGAAGATGAATTGAAAAATTTGAGAGAAAGGCTTGAAAAAGAAATGGATATGCTCAAAGATTTTCAAGATAGGCAGAAAAATTGTCTTGAGGACAATTGCTGTAGAGAAGAACAAAAATTGTTAGAACGTACGTCACTAAGAAAAGCATTGATTGAGAAAAAGGTTTGCTATACAATTTTTTCTGAGAGATTTCCTAATCTTTCAGGCGACTTATATATATATATATATAAAGTAAATATAAAGGTTAGTCTTCTTTTACTGATGCGCTGGATCTCGGCATTTTAACTGATCTTGTCCTGCGCTCAGATTTGTTATATTGATCTGTTTTATTTCATCCTCGTGAAACCCATAGCGGTCATCATATGAGATGCTTTAAATTGTCTTTTTGAGCACTATCGATTGAATACACGCATCAACGATCATATATACTGATTTCCTTTACGTAGCGTTTATGGAAGTCGTTACAATCCCATCCCAATTCATCACATATGGAATTATTTTCGTCATGCATTTCATCTCTGACCCGAGTTTATTAGCCAGTAGATCATACTTATTTACGCCTTTTCTTAGTCCGGGCTACTGTCAATCTATCCTGACTGCTGATGCCAATCTCTATCAAAATCTTATATATATATATATATATATAAAGGAAAAAAGCTCAGTTTCTGGAATCGTAATTAAGAATTCAGTATTTGTAACACGCACAAAATGTTAGAAAATCAATTTATGGTGAGTAGTATATTTTGTAGTGTTTGTTTATTTGGAGGGATTTCAGATGGAAGAAGAAAAGATAGCATTAACTATCGAGCGACGAAAAGTACTAAGGGAGCTAGCTGAAAAGCATTGTGCTGAAAAATCAGCATTTGTACAAGATGAACAGAAGGCTTTGGATGAACAGATGCGGGAAATGACCTTTACTGTCTCTCAGTTTAGCTCAGAAAATGTTTTACGCTCAACTGCTAGTCTTCCTTCATTACCTAGGAATTTATAGGTTGCATCATCTTTGTGGAAAGTTTTAGTTTGAAATGACTTAGCTGCAGTACGCTCATAATTACAAGTCGTTTCTTTTTCCGTTTGTGTACGTCATCACCGGTTAATCAGTGTTGGTATTGAATGGACCTGAAATATAAGCTATTCATCCCATTTTTAGTGCTAATTACTGACTTTATTTTGCCACTTGCTGACTTTTAAAACAAATGTTAATATTTTCAGATTTTAGTTGAGGCATTTTTTTTATGTGCAGAAACATTACGAATCACGTGCCATTTGTAAATTATATGGAAAATCTCTTACTTTTTCTCTGTTTGGAATAAAATAAGTATTCTTAAAACATTAATTTGCACATGGACAGTTATTCAAAAAGCTTTTGCAGTAAATTTTCATATGCGTTTAGCATATAAAAAATTAAATCTTCTTTTTATCTGTTGTCTAAAACATTAATCTTTTTCGATCTCAGTTGAGTTTTTTTATAGTTTGAATTCGAACTTCATTCTTTTGGTTTTGATGATAAAAAAGATTATTTCCGTGCTGTTCATTTCCGGTCATCACGAATTAGTGGCAGGATTCGATTTCTAAAATAGCTCTTAAGATCTCATATTATAACCAATTTTCTATTGTCAGTTCGTTAGTGCTCTTTCAACTGCCTCAAGATTCATGGTGGTGAACTGTTGCTTTATTAGTTTCTTGTAAACATTGGTTATTGAAGTTTGTATTAATTCAATTTACTGTTTCTGATGTTTGGATAATTCACAGTTTGCAGTATATCTGTCATCTTTTTACTTGCTTTTTTCAGCTGTTTGCAGTATTGCAGAATTAGTTTTATTGTTTTATTTAATAGCCAAAGTAAGAAGAGCAGTAGTTATTATCGTCTATGAAAATGACATATTTTTGGAAGTTGTGGTAGATATGACGATGTTATAAATGTTTGTTCTTTACAGTTCTATATTATTTGTGCCATCGCTTGTATTGACAGATTTACTATTACTTTTCCTTTTATCTAGTGTTTCTATATCATCAAATTGTTGCTCTCAGTTTTGCAGCCCCTCAAGTGTGTCTCTTAAATAAATTTGTTACGATTACCACTGCTTGCTTTTATGATAATTTCGAGTGGAAAAATTTAAGTTATTATTATTTTTATCATTATCATTGTTACTGTTATTATCATTATCATTGCTATCTCCTTTATTATTTATTATTACTGTCATTTGTGAGTGATGTTATTTTCATATTTTCATCTCGTTGTTCTATAGCCTTTATATAAATTCATCCAACTCCGCTTTACCAAATCCAACTTTATCAAGTAATCCAACAAAAACTGCGTGTAGTTTTTGATATGCTTTGCTGTGGTGAACCCGGTGCTTTTGTAAAAAAAAGCTTTGTATTGTAATGTGTGCCTTATTTGCTTATTTGTGCCACAAGTTATTGCTTTTGTTATCACGTTACGGCTCAAAAATATGATAATGTATTATGTTTCTTTGCCTATTACATTTCGCTCTCTTAGAAGATGTGTTAAGCAGGTTTTAAATAGGAAACTTTAATAAATTCCAGAGTTTTCTGAAGTCACTATTGCAAAAGTTGGACGTTTATCACTTAGTTTTTGAAAAATTTGTATCAAAAGGAAAATAATTGGTAACTCTTTTCACAGAGCTATATGTGCGTTCGAGTAAACTGTCATGCTTTAGCTGAATATCTATACCTGATTGTCACTCAGCTTACACTCTAGCTCAAGTGCTTCAATCTGCAGTGATGCAGGTCTTTAAAGTCTTTTATTGCTTTCATTATTGTACTGTACGCATATATCTTCTAAGCAAGCACATATTTGTTGTCAACTTATTTTGAGAAATGAACATATTTTAATTTTTCTTTCAAAATTTCTCGCTTGACAATAGCAGCACGCAACGACCTCTTATGTTACGTACGGTTTGTAAGATAGTTTGAATTCTTCTGTTGTTTTATTGTTGCAATTATTGTTTCTGTACTTGCTCACCATCATTCCAAGATATTGATAAAGTTAACAAATTTGATTTATAGTAAAGTGAACAATTATAGGAATATTTAGTAACATTCAGTTTATCATTCTTGAAGATGCTTGGGAAATGTAGTTTGTTTTTTTGTTTAATGAAATTGTGGGTAATCGTGCTTCCGTTATCAAGAGATTGGTGTCCTTGAGTAGATAAAATGAAGAGATTGTTACTACGCTTTGTCCCGAATACAATGTGTAGTCTGAAACTAATAAAATGATGTGAATAATGCCTTACTTGCTCAAAGTTTTTCATTTTATAAAGTATGATTGTAGCATACATGAGAATGAGTTTAGTGAGTTTGCGAAACCAACCAAATATGTCTTGGCGGAGCAGTCTCTAAAGTTTATTCTGTTGATAGAGTTGAACGCTGGTATTTATCAGATTACAGCAAACGTGAGTTCAATGTATTTCTTGAGTTCAATGGCAAAAGTCGTATTTAATCAATGGCTACTGACCTTTAGCATTCAGGCATTTTTTCATGCTTCAGTTTATGACCGGGAATTTTTTTAAATTTGGTCTTGATAAGTAACGGAAGCTAATAATCTGTTTCAGTAAAGAGCTGACTTGCCAATACTTGGAATGAAACTCAAATTCATTTTCTTCGATGAAAAAGCAAGAAAGTGGATTGTTGCGGTAAAGTTCAGCTTGTTTCCCTATGTTTTTATTCATCCATCCGTAAAATGAGATTGAATTTGAAGCAAAGTAAGGATTAGTATTACGCCAATGCAACAGAAGGAATAGGGAAAATAAGACAGTAAAAGTGATTAGTTACAAGCCTCATAGCATTGTGCTTCAGTCTTATTTTGAAACGTAGCATACTGTAATGCTGTGGGCTGTATAAATAATAATCAATTCTTCAGTCAACCACTCAGAGTGAGCTTTGTGTGGTATTTTTACACTGCTGTGTATTTTGATTGCACGCGTAGAACTTTAATCTTTTACTGTGTTTAATTGTATGAGAACTTTTATTCTAATTTTGAGATAATTACTGCAAATTAGTTGTCAGTTACGAATTAAAAAATAGTTAAAAAAATTTGGTCGGAAGAAAAGATAAAATTTTGTGTGTTTTGTAACAAAAATTAAGATTATTTCAATGACTTGAGTACTTTCTCAGATGTTTCCATATTATAGAGGTAATGCTTTATTTATACTTTCGATTATGAACAGTACTCACTCAGCAGCACTTTTCATTCACACATAGCTGCAAATATTGTCAGAATAATATTGCTCAGAGAGATTCAAGTCGCTAGCAAACACTGAATTCACTGAACTGAAATTAAACGAAAATTTGTCGTCTCAGTGCAAAAGCCTGCATTAGCACAAATGCTTCGTTGAACGGAAAAGCCTCTCTTTGCATTGGAAAATTTTATTGACTTTTGAAGATGATTATTCCTCACTAGTGTGCATTTGCTGAGGAATTATTGATAAGTGGCAGAAAACCTTTCTATCAATGAAATGCCTATTAGCTAGAGTTGTCATTTTAAATATTTCATCTATTTGATGTGATGCAAAGACGCGATAGTTTTCGCAATTTAAGTTTTTTTTTGTTTTTAACAGTTTCCCGAATTCTCTCGTAATCTGAAGTGAAATACAGGTTTTCTGCCAGAACATCTTTAGAAATACTGATAATACAAATAAAGTTTAATTTCAACTTTATAATACTTCAGATGGTTTCTTCTTGGTCACGCAAATTACAATTTACATTTTTCGTGCTTCTGTAATGCAGTACCTTAATTTGCTGTCATACTAAAGCAAAAAGTGAGTGCAGTCGGTGTCGAGAGTCATCTGTTGACAGTCACAAATTTAATACTGTGTATGAATTTGTTTCCTTCAGATGGATGTACTCGGAATTACGTCAATGGCTTTACTTGGCATAAATTTTGAATTTATTGTTGAATTAGAAAAAAATTCAATTGATGATTTTTATGATACAAAGTTGATTTGCTCAATATTCCATCATAAGTTATTTTCGTGATTATTAGCTGATCATAAGAGAAGTGAAATTTCAAATTGAAAAAAAAAGTTATAAATTCATGCTATGAATTATCTTTAATAGACTGAGAACTACAAGATATTTGTCAGAACGAATTTTTGGACTATTACTGGTCGGATAGCAGGCAAGATGGTTAACCGAGTTGAATAATAGTAACAAGTTTAGTTATCAACAAGGGAGATCACTGATAAACACTATGAATATATCTGCCGTTTCTGATTATTACATTGCAAAGTTGACAATGAATAGCGCAGAGTTCGTTGCATGTC